AAACAAGTTCGAGCACCTGGAAAAGCGTCGAGAGAGTGTCGAAACAATGTCGGACGAATGTCTCCCAGGGCCCGACGCGCGAAAACCCTCGAGTGTCGGTACTTTCTGTCTCGTGCTCGACATCCTTTCTGGTGATCAAGGCTACAATAGGTTGGAACATCATAAGCGTAGGAAGGCGTTGGAACTAGATTGGGCTCCCGCCCACCCCCTGAAGGGGAGGGCAGGAGGAAAATCATGCGACTCTTGAAGTAGGAAGGCGGCCAAAAGGGGACGTGGATCTGGGGATCCAGGAATACCTACTTTCAGCGACCGGCGTGCAGTGGGGGGTGGCCTGAATTGGGGTGAAGAAGAGCGCCCTAACGTTATGTCGGGCGCGTCCCCCTACAAGGGGATTTTCGACGAAAAATAAAAAATACCTCAAACATACCCCAAAAAGGTCAAAACATACCCCAAAAATAATCCCCCGACTATTTTTGGACTATTTTTTGATTGGGGTATTTCTTATCTTTCGTCGATTATCCCGGCAAAGCAACCCAACAGCGATGTGTAGGAGCATATCTGGAAGCATTCCCCTTAAGATTCAGATGAGAATCCAGTTGTAGAATTCTGCAGTTCTCGCAGTCGTAGTCGCATTCGCGATGACAGTCGCAGTGGCAACGGCAGTCGCAGTCACAGCCTCAGCCTCAGCCTGCCTCAGCCTCAGCCTCAGCCTGCCTCAGCCTCAGCCTGCCTCAGCCTCAGCCTCAGCCTGCTTCAGCCTCAGCCTCAGTCTGCCTTCAGCCTCGGCCTCAGCCTCAGCCTGCCTCAGCCTCAGCCTGCATCAGCCTCAGCCTCAGCCTCAGCCTGCCTCAGCATCAGCCTGCCTCAGCCTCAGCCTCAGCCTGCCTTTGCAGCCTCAGCCTGCTTCAGCCTCAGCCTCAGTCTGCCTCAGCCTCGGCCTCAGCCTCAGCCTGCCTCAGCCTCAGCCTGCATCAGCCTCAGCCCCAGCCTCAGCCTGCCTCAGCATCAGCCTGCTTCAGCCTCAGCCTCAGCCTGCCTCAGCCTCAGCCTCAGTCTGCTTCAGCCTCAGCCTCAGCCTCAGTCTGCCTTCAGCCTCGGCCTCAGCCTCAGCCTGCCTCAGCCTCAGCCTGCATCAGCCTCAGCCTCAGCCTCAGCCTGCCTCAGCATCAGCCTGCCTCAGCCTCAGCCTCAGCCTGCCGCAGCCTCAGCCTCAGCCTGCTTCAGCCTCAGCCTCAGTCTGCCTTCAGCCTCGGCCTCAGCCTCAGCCTGCCTCAGCCTCAGCCTGCATCAGCCTCAGCCTCAGCCTCAGCCTGCCTCAGCATCAGCCTGCCTCAGCCTCAGCCTGCCTCTGCCTCAGCCTCAGCCTGCTTCAGCCTCAGCCTCAGTCTGCCTTAAGCCTCGGCCTCAGCCTCAGCCTGCCTCAGCCTCAGCCTGCTTCAGCCTCAGCCTCAGCCTGTCTCAGCATTCAAAATGTGGCCCGGGAATGGAATTCTGGGAACTCGAAGAACACGAAGTGGCTACAGTTGGCTCCGGGCATTCAAAATCTTGCCCAGGAATGGAGTTCTGGGAACTCGAAGACCACGAAGTGGCCTACAGTTGGCTCCGGGCATTCAAAATGTGGCCCGGGAATGGAGTTCTGGAACTCGAAGAGCACGAAGTGGCCTACAGTTGGCTCCGGGCATCCAAAATGTGGCCCGGGAATCGAGTTCTGGGAAGTCGAAGAGCACGAAGTGGCCTACAGTTGGCTCCGGGCATCCAAAATGTGGCCCGGGAATGGAGTTCTGGGAAGTCGAAGAGCACGAAGTGGCCTACAGCTGGCTCCGGTTATTCAAAATGTGGCCCGGGAGTGGAGTTCTGGGAGGTCGAAGAGCACGAAGTGTGTGACTGTTGGCTTAAAACGAGCCCGGCTTTGTTCCCGGTTCTTTTCCCCGGCACCCGCCCAGACCCCCCTGTGGAGTCATCAGATGCTCTCTTTTGAGTCCACTAGAAACCTATCAGCAAAAGCTGTTAGGTAAAAATCCCCCTGTAGGGGGACAGGCCTGACTTAACCCTAACGAGGCCCTTCAGAGGGGCCCCTTTTTGGAGCCAGCAAAGGCCCAAACGGCACCTGCCTGGGCTCGCTTGGGAGCCTCTCCTCTTGCCCCCCGTGCAAGGTCCCCCCGAGCTACGTAAGTCGGGCCTGTCCCCTACAGGGGGATTGTCGACGCAAAATAAAAAAATACCCACAAATAATATCAAGAATAGTCCAAAAACAGTCCGGGGACTATATTTTGAATATCTCTTGGCCTTTCTGGCGTATGTTTGGGGTACTCTGAATTCTTCGTCGAACATCCCCCTGTAGGGGGACGGGCCCAACTGAAGCGTAGGATTGTGTTGCCCCCTACCATACCTAAGGACCACATCCCAGAAACAAGTTCGAGCACCTGGAAAAGCGTCGAGAGAGTGTCGAATAACAATGTCGGACGAATGTCTCCAGGGCCGACGACGTGAAACCCCTCGAGTGTCGGTACTCTTGTCTCGTGCTCGACATCCTTTCTGGTGATCAGGTCTAAAGTAGGTTGGAAACATATAAGCGTAGGAAGAGTGGAAAACTAGATTGGGTCCCGCCCACACCCTGAAGGGAGGGCAAGGAGGAAAATCATGCGACTCTTGAAGAAGTAGGAAGGCGTACAAAAGGGGACTGGGATCTGGGGATCCAGGAATACCACTCAGCGACCGGCGTTGCAGTGGGGGGTGGGGGGGGTGGCCTGAATTGGGGTGAAGAAGAGCGCCCTAACGTTATGTCGGGCGTGTCCCCCTACAAGGGGATTTTCGACGAAAAATAAAAATACCTCAAACATACCCCAAAAAGGTCAAAACATACCCCAAAAATAATCCCCCGACTATTTTTGGACTATTTTTTGATTGGGGTATTTCTTATCTTTCGTCGAAATCCCCCTGTAGGGGGACAGGCCTGACTTAATCCTAACGAGGCCCTTCAGAGGGGCCCCTTTTTGGAGCCAGCCAAGCCGAACGGGACCTTGCCTGGGCTCCGCTTGAGGGCCTCTCTCTTCCTCCCCGTGCAGGTCCCCCCCCCCATCACCGTTAAGTCGGGCCTGTCCCCCTACAGGGGGATTTTCGACGCAAAATAAAAAATACCCCACAAATAATCATCAAGAATAGTCCAAAAACAGTCCGGGCACTATCTTTTGAATATCTCTTGGCCTTTCTGGCGTATGTTTGGGGTACTCTTAATTCTTCGTCGAACATCCCCCTGTAGGGGGACAGGCCCAACTTAAGCGTAGGATTGTGTTGCCCCCTACCGTACCTAAGGACCACATCCCAGAAACAAGTTCGAGCACCTGGAAAAGCGTCGAGAGAGTGTCGAAACAATGTCGGACGAATGTCTCCCAGGGCCCGACGCGCGAAAACCCTGTAGGGGGACAGGCCCGACCTGACCTTACCACCCGCCAGACCCCTGCTGCCCGCCACCCCCTCCCGTCTGGCCGAGCGAGGCGGCACGCCGCCCTCCTTCCGCCGCTCGCCGCCGCCGCTCCGGCGGCTCGCTCTCCTCCGCCCGCCCTGCCCCCGCCCGGCCGCCCCGCTCCGCCCGCCCTGCCTCCGCCTCCGGGCGCCCCCGCCCCCATTTGCTCTGGGAAGACCTGGGTCTCGTTCGGGAAGGCCCGGCGGCCTGACTCCGCGACACATTTGGCTCGCGAAGGCCCGAGTTTGGCTCGGGACAGCCCTGGCCCCGCCCCCGCTCCCCCCGATGCCCTGGCCTCCACGACGGGCCTCTCCCTGGCCCCGCCACCTCCGGCGGGCCGCCCTCCCGCTCCCAGGGGGAGGAGGAGGAGGAGGAGCAGGAGGAGGAGGAGGAGGAGGAGGAGGAGGAGGAGGATGAGGATGAGGAGCGGAGAAGAGTGAAAGGAAGAAGGAGAAGGAGGAGGATAAAAGGAGGAGGAAGGGAGGAGGAGGAGGAGGAGGAGGAGGAGGAGGAGGAGGAGGAATGGGAGGAGCCGGCCTGGCGTCGCTCGCCTGGCTCCGCCGCTCCCCGCCCCCACGCGGAGCGCCGAGCGCCCGGAGCGAGAGGCAGCCGCCCCTGGCCACGGCGAGCGCCGGCCACGGGCAGGGCCGCAGAGGCCCGCGGCCGAGGGAGGGCCCGGAGCGGCAGACCAAAGCCCCTCCTCCTCCTCCTCCTCCTCCTCCTCCTCCTCCTCCTCCTTTTCTCCTCCTCCCTCCCCTCCTCCTCCTCCTCCTCCTCCTCCTCCTCCTCCTCCTCCTCCTCCTCCTCCTCCTCCCCCTCCTCCGCTTCCTCCGCCTCCCCGTCCTCCTCCCCGGCCCCCCACCGCCCCGCGGCCGCTGCCCCCTGCCCGCTGCTGCCCCGCCGCCGCTGACGCCGCCGCCTTTTGCGTGGGCCCGGCCGCCCTGCACGACGAGCTGGCGCCCGCGCGCCCGTGAGGCACTCTATAGACGGCACGGCGAGTCGCCCTGCCCGCGGACGACCGAGGCGTGCGTGGCTGTGTGGGGGCGTGTAGGCGTGCAGGTGCAAGAGTAGGGAGCAAGAGTCGGTGTGAGCGTGAGTGTAAAAGTAAGTGTAAGTGTGTGTGTGTGATGTGCGTGCGTGCGTGCGTGCGTGCGTGCGTGCGTGCAAGCGTGCGTGCGTGCGTGCGTGCGTGCGTGCGTGCGTGTCAGTGTGCGTGTCAGTGTGTGTGTGTGTGTGTGTCAGTGTGTGTGTGTGCGTGCGTGTGTGTGTGTGTGTGTGTGTGTGTGTGTGTGTGGAAGTGTGTGTATGTGTGTGTACGTGTACGTGTGCGTGCGTGCGTGCGTGCGTGCGTGCGTGCGTGCGTGCGTGTGTGCGTGTATGTGTGTGTGTGTGTGCTGTGTGTGCTGTGTGTGCTGTGTGTGCTGTGTGTATGTGTGTGTGTGTGTGCTCTGTGTGTGTGTGTGCTGTGTGTGTGTGCGTGTCCTAGGCCTGCCTGCAAATCCCAGCCCAAGCCCCATTGTGACAAGCCGGCGGGCGCCTCTATCTCGCCCGGAAATCCATCTTCCTCCTGGGCGGGCGAGGGACTTCCACTGCATCTTCCGACCTGGCCTCTATGATCCTGCTCTTGCTACTCCTCCTTCAGATCGGACCGATCCTTCTGCTGCTGTTCTTCTTGCTGTTCCGTGAGGGGGCTCTCCTCCTCCTCCTCATCCATCATCAGCCTCCTCCGCCTTCGCCTCCTCCGTGTTGCCTTCGCACCTTCGTGGCACTCCAGGGAGCATCGAGCATCGAGCCTTCCAAGGGGGGGGACTAATGCAGGAATCTATGTAGTCACTTGACGGGGAACTAATGCGCGAGCTACGAGAGATTGTGCGATGCAGCTGCTCCAATGCGGTCAGACAGCGTCCAAACCAAGTAGGAGAAGGAGTTGAGGAGGGGCGAGGACGGGGAGGTGTGGAAGGCCCCTGGACCTCTGCGCGGTCCTTGCAAGTTCTGTGGGGATGAATGAGGTCGTGGCGGGCTCGCTATGGAGGTTACGAGGAGCAGCAGCACCAACCCCCCCAGAAAGCCTGCGACTGCATGGGAGGTAGGCGGGGGGAGTGGAAGGGGCCACGGCAAGCGGCTGTGCGCCTTTCGGCCACCTGGAGGCATTTCAACTCCGACGAGGAGAGCCTCCGCGAAAGGGCGCACTGTCGGACGCAGCTGCCGCGCGGTGGCGGTGCAGCAGGAAGCAGAGCGAGGATAGCCGAACAAACGAGGAGCTGCGGCAAAGCCGCAGAGAGCTACAGCCAATGCGTTGAAACAATAGCCAATTATGATCAGGAACGCTCTCGGTGGCTCCTTATGTGTGCTTGCGTTCCATTCTGCGGCTCGCCAGCCAACTTATTCGGCGCTCGTGTGGTCTGGCATGGTCGGGATCGCGTTGCCGGCCGTGGCCACTGATCCCAGGAACGGGTCCCGCAGAGGGGTTCGGTTCATGACGCCGCTGCGAAGGTGATGTTCTCTGGATTAGTTGAAACGCTCCTTCCGCGATGCGAGTTGACATTTTCAGATATAGGCACAATTTCTCGCGCGAGCTCCTCGGCTCCTTGAGATCGATGCGGCTTCAAGGCTGGCCAACGGGCCGTTGGGACTCACGTCTTCCGTGCGCACGATCTGCTCCAGCAAAACCTATATGTTCCCTAACCCGTGGGATTGATCCCTGCCTTCGTGGGCAAAAAGCCCCTCCAATTTCCTATCTCCGGCAAGATAGCCGGGCGGCAACTGCATGGGGCCCTTGAAATGTGTGAGCCCATGTTGAGGCCGAGAATTCAAACATGAGCACATGTTGAGGTTCATAATGCAAATGAAGCAGTCGGCTTTCCTCATGCGATTCTCGGGGTGGCACGTGCCACCCGCTGCATGCTTACAGCGCGTGAGCCCATGATGATGCCCAGAACTCTGAGGAGCTGCATGTTGTTCCTCAGTATGTTGCGGGGTTGCAAGTGTCACCCGCTGCGTGTTGCAATGCATGTCTATACGTTGGCCCACCGACTGGCCACGCAATGTTCGGGGTGGCACATTCGATACGCTGCACCCCTCCAGTGTATGAGGGTATATCGAGGTCCAGAAAGCAATTTTCTGGGTGGCACGTGCCGCCCGCTACACCCGTACGGTGGATGACCCCTGGTTAAACTCGTCCTCCTCTTCTAAATTATCAACCCTCCTTCATGACCTCCTTCTCCTCTTTTACCTTCTCCCTGCCAGTGCAATATATTATCCATCCTCCCCCTAATCATCATCATCCTCCTGCCACTCGTCCCCATCCTCAACCTCGCCCTCCGCCGGATATCGTGTTCGTTGTCATCCCATCCACGTCGGTCTCGCTGTCGTCGTCGCCGTCGCCATTGACGCCGCACCCGCCGTCGATGTCGCTTCCGTCGTCGCCACCATCGTCATCCTCGTCACCCCCCTCCTCGCACTTTACACGCTATCGGGCACCATCCTGCTTCGTGATCATGCCGCAACCGCTCTTGTGGTGCTCGCAGCAGTATGCGGCCTTCTGGTGCGACCAGTCCGTCTTCTTATTGGTGCGGGAATTGGACTTGCAGTCGAAGGGCTCTGATGTACCGAGGCGGGAGAGAAAGGAGAGGAAAGGGAGGTAAAGATATCGAGAATGATCGGGACAGCGACGAGGACCAGAAAGACAAGGAAGGCATGGTAAGACGAGGGGAAGAGAGAAGAATCCGGCGACCCCCACCTTGCCAGTGGAGCAACGTGTGAGACATCTGGCTGTCCTCCTCCCCCTGGTTTCCCCGCTCCGCAAGGTCCAAAATTCTACACGGGGGAAGGGGCACGAGATCCTCAACGCACCTTCCGGGCCCTCGGGGCGTCCAAATCCAATATTCGCGCCTCCAGAATGCCCAAGATGCCCTCCAAAAGGGCTCCTCAAGAGATCTGGCGGGCCCAAGAGGCCTCAGGTAGAACCCAAGAGGCCCTCAGAGACTCCAAGAAATGTCAAAGATGCACCAACATGAATCCAAGACGCCGAAAATGACTGATGATTTGTGTGTCCCATTGCCGCTGCTGGAAACCTCCAAGAAGGTTCAGGAAGCCTAGAAACGGGCCCAAGATTCCCCAAAGTTTCCCTGCTGGCCTCCGAGATGGCCTCTACATGGCTCCAGCGCGGTCCACGATCGGCCCAAGACGGTCTCAAGACTCCCCCACACAAGATTCCAGGACCCCCCGCAACGACCCCAGTGACCTGGAAGTGTCGACATCCGAGAGAGCGTGATCCACCGCCGCTTTGCTGTGGAAAATCCCCCCCTCTTCCTCCGAAACCCTGGGCCCCCTTCCCCCTCCGAAATTCCCCCCCCCCTCCCTGCTCGAACCCCCCCCCCAGCAAAAGCCCCCCACCCCACCCCTCCCCCAGGAAAACCGGGGGGGTCACTACCAGTTCGAACCCCCCCACCCGCCGCCGACAAACGGCTCCCGGGTCCCCACCACCGTGCTCACCACCGCCCTCACCACTGTCCCCAAAAACCACTGTCCCACTGTCCCCACCACAGTCCCCACCACTGTCCCACTGTGCCCACTGTCCCCACCACTGTCCCTACTGTCCCCACCAGTGCCACCACCACTGTCGCACTGTCCCCACTGTCCCCACCACTGTCCCCACCACGGTCCCGCTCTCCCCACTGTCCCCACTGTCCCCACCACTGTCCCACTATCCCCACTGTCCCCGCCACTGTCCCACTGTCCCCACCGCTGTCCCACTGTGCTGTCCCACTGTGCTGTCCCACTGTCCCCACTGTCCTCGCCACAGTCCCACTGTCCCCACTGTCCCCACCACGGTCGCCACTGTACCACTGTCCCATTGTACCGCCACCGTCCTCACCACTGTCCCCACCACCACCGTCTCCACCTCTGTCCCAATGTCCCCACTGTCCCCACCACCACTGTCCCCACCGCGGTCCCACTCTCCCCGCTATCTCCACTATCCCCACCACTGTCTCACTGTCGCCACTGTCCCCACCAGTGTCCCACTGTCCCAACTGTCACCACCGCTGTCCCGCTGTCTCCACTGTCTCCACTGTCCCCAACCCACCATTGTCCCCACTGTACCACTGTCCCATTGTCCCACCACCGTCCTCACCACCGCCCTCACCACTGTCCCCCACCACCACCGCCCCCACCACTGTTCCACTGTCCCTACCATTGTCCCACTGTCCTCACTGTCCCCACCACCACAATCCCCACCACTGTCCCACTGTCCGCACTGTCCCCACCACTGTCCCACTGCCCAAACCACTGTCCCAACCACTGTCACCACCCCACTAGTGTCCCCCACCATTGTCCCAATGTCCCCACTGTCCCCAGTGTCCCCACCACGGTCCCGTTCTCCCCACCGTCCCCACTCTCCCCATGTCCCACTGTCCCCACTCCCATCACCATCCCCACCACCGTCCCAACCACCGTTCCCCATCCAGAGTGGGGGAGGAGGGGGAATCGTTTGCCGGCGGCGAGGAAGGAGGGGGGGTCGAACCAGTAGTGACCCCTCCGTTTTCATGATGGACCGGGGGGGGGATTTGGAACCCCCAGTGACCTCACGGTTTTCGGAGGGGGGGGATGGGTTTGAAACCCACAGTGACCCCCCCCGGTGTTCTGCCAGCAGCGGCGGAACACGCTTTTTCCGACATCCCAACCCTACCCCCACAAACCATCGACTCTCCTGGATCTATGGGAGGCGGGGGTCGGGTTCGGATTTCGCCACGTGATCGACGAATTCCGAACCTTACTCTCGCCGCCCATCGACTTGCCTGAATCGTTGATCGGCGAAGGTAGGGCTCGGGCTACGCCGCCGAGAAAACATGCATCCAAGAGGCCCCAAGAAGCTCCCGAAAGAGCCCCATGGAGAGGCCCAGAAGGCCCTCCAAAGACCCTTCACGGCGTCACGCCACGCTTCCCTGTGCTCACTGGTAGGGACAGCTGCGTGTTCCTTCCCCTCATGGGGGGACCAGACCCCCGCTCAATTCGCGATGATCATGCTTGTTCCTGCTCCCCCTCTTCCCTACAGTCAGAGTGTTACCACGAGGAGGAGGAGGAGGAGGAGGAGGAGGAGGAGGAGGAGGAGGAGGAGGAGGAGGAGGAGAAGGGGAGGAGTGGGAGGAGGGAGGAGGAGGAGGAGGAGGAGGAGGAGGAGGTGAAGGTGGAGGAGGTGGAGGAGGTGGAGGAGGAGGAGGAGTAGGAGGAGGAGGAGGAGGGGAAGAGGAGGAGGAGGAGAAGGAGGAGGAGGAGGAGAAGGCAAGCTGAATAAGACACGAATGTTATGTTGTCTGGCCATGCTGAGTCTCGGCCACGAACAGGTTCCCAACCGAGACTTGAGGAGGGGCCCAACAATCGAAGCCCGTCCTAAGCTCGAAATGGTGTTTATTTCGGCGCCTCGGCTGTAGGCATGGACCGACCACAACGATGTTCAAAACGCGTTTGCGTTTGGGACGAAAAACAACGAATCCGAAAGTTCAACACGAAACGTTTAAAGCAATCGCGCCCCGAGAT